GAGAGAGAGAGAGAGAGAGAGAGAGAGAGAGAGAGAGAGAGAGAGAGAGAGACAGCGTTCAGCTCGCTTCACAAAGTTTTCGAGGTCAGTTGGCGGCGGGTGAGGAGGAAAAGGGATGATGCCTGCCCCCAACCACTTCTTCTTCTTCTTCTTCATGTGCTCGCTCGCCTGTGCCGGACTTGACTTGCCTCAACTTGACTCGACTTGTCTGGAAGCTTTCGAAGTTGCCGATGTTGCCGACGCCGCCGCCGCCGCCGCTTCCCCGTGCCCTTTCTCACATGACACCAGCACAGCAACTAAAGAGAAAAGGCTGAGAACAAGCCGACAAAGGGGAACATGCGAAATGCCGCCAAGTGTCGGTCAGTTGCCGCTGATGCCCATTCCATGCGGCTAATCGGCTGAAGTGGAGGTATCTAGCACTTTGAAAGCCAAGCTTTGCTTTGCGTTTTTCTTTTTTCACTACCGCCTTTGCCAACTATGTTGCTAGCTAGCTCTCTGTTATTTATGATTGTCTCTCTCTCTCTCTCTTCCTCCTTTCCAGAGTAGAGCTCCTGCTTAAGCCAGATTGGAGAATTTGCTCATCCTTCCCATCTGTCAGTTAGTCAGTCAGTGAGCTCTCTTTCCCGAGCTGCAACATTGTAACACTTTAACGATGATGCTACCGCCGCCATCACCATCACCACCACTATCACCACCAGACAGGCTACCTGATGAGGAGACAGGTTGAAGAGATGCCTGCCTGCCTGCCTGACTTTGCAAAAAGAAGGAGGAAGAAAAAGTTGAAACAAGTTGAAATTAAAATCCATTTAACCATTTTATTTATTTGAATCCGTAGCACAGTTTTGAGTAGTCGTAAGGATATTTGTACTGAATAGATAGGTTGTGTGAATAGTAGTGTGCTGTTTATAAAAAAAAAGTTATAATGTTTATACATTGTGGAAACCATAGAAATAATAATACTCGGTTGTTTTGCCTGCTGCTTCTGCTGCTGTTGCTGCAAAGATTGTTTGTGTCAGCAGCTGTCGGCAGCTGTCAGCAGAAAAGAAGAAGAAGAACAAAGAAATAAATAAGTGAGTAAGTGAGACAGAGGGGGTGGAAAACACTTGAAGAGTTGTGAAGTTGTGAGCATCTCTTGCATGTTATGCAATGCTTGGCAAGAGAAGAGGGGGTAAAGGGAAGAAATGAAAGAAAAGCAGCTTAGAGCTGAGGAAAATGAGGAGTAGGGGAAGGTGTTGTGCTGAACTTGGCATGTGAATCAACAGGTGGTGGTGGTGGTGGTGGTGACAGAGGAGGGGGTGACAGAAGAGCACCCGTTTGCCTCGTCGACCTCCATTGCCGCTGTCCTTTCCTGTTCTGTTCTGTTCTGTGCTGTCCTATCGCCTGACTTGTCCTGTTCTGTTCGGCACTGTCCCCCGCTGGCATACTTTGAAGTGGTGGTCGTGGTGGTGGTGGTGGTGGTGGTGGTTGAATTCCTGTTGTCAAATAGTGAGTCAGTCAGTCAGTCAGTCGGTTGTTGTTCAGCCCACAACCATCAGCACACACACCACTGTGCTCCATT